CTGGTATTTACCTAATTTGAAAATATCGTTCATGTCCCTGGCCTATTATGTAACATTCCTTGAATTCGCCTTATTGTCACAAATCCAGCAATGGTACAAAATATAAGGAAGCAAGACATGAATTATCAGGCCTCATTTTCTATTACAATTTCAGAATTTCACTGGGTTGTAAAAACAGATCTAAACCATAAATTTTCAACTTTTTAGAAAAAGAAAGGTACCACACTGACCATCCGAAGCCATTGCAAACCCTAACCTAAAACTTTCTCAAGTTAGCTTATTACATTCATATCAAGCACTTTGCAAGACAAAAAGGGAGGCACGAAAACTCCTGTCCAAAATTTTTCAGATTAACAGGCATATAACCAGTGAGTTAAACTTTCCAGCCCTGACCCAGATGATTATCACCTGCGGGATTTCCATTTTTGTAATAATCATGACCCATATTCCGCACCATTTCAAGCATATCTGGTTCTCTTTTAACGAAGCTATCATTTCCAGAAACACTGGAAGAGTCCCCATTGCAAGCAGCTGAGACAGAGACATTGTGCATGTTCCCACCAGCGCTAGATGACTTTCTTGAGGCAGCTGCTTTTGCCATGTTGCCAAAATCTAACCCGTTGGCAAGCTTATCCATTCTTTTGGCTTTGGTCTGCAAGCCACTGGGAGTGGTACAACCTATCTCTTGGTTTACTTTTTCCTTATCTCCCTCATTCTCTGCTCTGCTGTTACTGATCATCTTCTGTAGCCATTTTTGGATCATACACTCTTGATTATTCTCGCTGCATTCAGAAAAATTATAACTTGACAAATCATTAACTGGTATGTCCTGACTCAGTCCTAAACTAGATATTTTACGACCCTGGAATGGCTTGGTAGATGCACCCTCCTTAGACCTGTTGCATGTACGAGAATGTGCCTCTTTCCATTTGCTTGCATTGGAGGTCAGTGTGGTCTGTCTTGACAATCGACTGGGTGATTCCTCCTCCAAATTAATCAAATTTGGGCTGCGGGTTATTTTTGGGCTTCCATTGCCGTTGTTGTTAAAATGAGGAGATATGCCCAATAACTTATAGCAGTCAGCAGGCAGACTTTGAACACACTCTAGAGGTAACTTTTCTTTTCCCTCACCTCTCAAAGGCTTGATAAAGTTGGTTTGTTGAGGATATTTCTTCAAGCCCTCTGCGAAGAAGATCGATATCAACATTAGCTTCATCAATAATCAATAAATCACTGTTTCAAGAAGAGTATCAAAGTTCAATGGGTAATCTTAAACAGGAATCAGACAACATACAACAACTAATAACGGTCATATTCAATAAAACAGAGGGCAAAGGTTAACCATCCTCTCTCAAATTGCTTATGATAGAAGTTTTACATTAAAAGTTACATAAATAAATTCAACTAATCCTAAATAACATCAAAGCTGCTTATATTCATGAAGGTATTCTTTTATTTTAAAAAAAAAAAAACACTTAAAAGACAGATCAAATACCAGTAATGGCAAGTTGACTTTAAAAATATCCGTACCATCAACAGAAACATGCATGATATTACTTATCAACTGGTCCAATGTTATTGTCCTTGCTGAAAGTCATCAAGTCTTTCATACTTTCGACTACCCCAGCTATCTGTAAGATTATTATGATTTTCAATATCTGCCAATTATTGGAACTATCAGCCTTTCAGTTTTGAGAGAGTTAAGAATTATCTATATATACCTGTAAGCATCGAATATATCTTTTGGAAAACCCTAAGTCATCCATGAACTCTAAATCCAAATTACTCACGAGCTGACCTCCAGTCGTCAGAAACCTGTTATACGGGTAATGATCAGAAACCAGACTCATCGGTAAACATCTTTGTCATATATACAAAGCACCAAATGTAATACCTAGGAACAGTATAACCAAAGTAGAAAACAAATTTCACAGGGTAGAACAAGATTTTACTACCATGGTCTGCTTTTCTATTATGTTCACACTAAGCTGGACACATGGAGGCACTTCACAACCACCAATAAGCTGATCGTCTCATCAGATGACCCTGCCAATTCCTTTTCACAGTCTAGACAAGTTAAGTGAGGCACAGAATGTGGCAGCAGACAGAGTATTCCATCCATCAATCTCTGCATGCGGTTTGGACTGGACATCCCCCTGACTAAAATTGTAGATCATAGAATTCTTACACTTGTGGCTTACATGAGTCAAGCGTGTAATTGTTATTTAAATGCCGCAATAAAAAACCTTCCATGTAGACAGTCTGAAGACAAATCAAAGACTAGGAAAACGCTCCAACTAGCTTTGCATGATCTATATAGGCGCTGTAGGGACCTTTTAATATGACATATGTGACATCAACAATTAAAAGCCATCATTTATGCATATCAATTAGCCGGCCAACTTAATACCTAGATCATCCGTAATTCCCAGGAAAGGTAGCAAGAAAACAAAAACCAAAATAAACAGAGAAATTTCTTGCCACATAAATAATCTTCTTTCAATGAATAATAACCTCTTGATTCAGAATTACTAAACCTTTCAGTTAACAGAACTACGAAAGTTGTGTTCCTTGTGTATGTTCAAAGAATTTATCAGACACCTAACCATGGCAAATCATCCATACAAATACTATTTTCATATTTTAAAGAATAAAATTTCAATGAGAAATGCTGTTTTACCTATTGCAATCTTCTTGGAGATAACGTGGTGAAACCTTATTAGATCCATTAATTGAACTTTGATATTTTTGCGCAGCATGAACCAATCCATGTACCTGTTAACAGAACATGCAAGGCAGGTATTTAGGCTCTAATAATGTTAAGCTGAATACTAAGCTGCTAAAGCATAGGATGTCCTTGTCAAAGATGAATCCTACAATGGAAATGAATGACTGCTTGTAAATTACATTTTGCATGGATAAAGAAAGTAAATTACCTGAGCAACAAAAAAACTGCGGTGCAGAAGTTCTTCATGATGCCTTGCACAAAACTCCCACGACAATATCTGAGAAATAATAGGACTGCAACAACTTGAGTTCAACATGAACTGTCAATCTATAAACTTCACATGCATGACCTTCCTTACCTTCAAATCATAAGTAAAAAGTATTCCAAGTTTGCCCTCATGAACAACACGAACTCAGTCATAGACACTCTCTTGAACTGCCTTTTCATATTCCAACATCATCAATCCAGAAGGGAATCTACGTTCACATGGCAGATCAAGAAACAAGATTTCATCGATCACCCCACTTTCAAATGATACTTTGTAAAGCCTAGGGAGCACTTCAGAAGTCGCCTCTGCCAAGCAGAAAAGGGCAGGATCCAATTACTTGCCACCAACAACTTCAGATAATCAGAAACTGAAACCAGCAAAGTCAACACATGCAAGCACATGCTTTTGCCAAAATATTGAGCTAATACCATATATGAGCAGATGTTTTGCTTACCAAAACCCCTTCCTGATATTGAACCACATAGGTTGCAGTGCCATTGAGCCTAGGGAAAACAGCACAAACTTGTGAGTAGATGAAAGAGATACACAAAGAAAGAGAGACATCAAGGGTTGAATACATTCAAATGCAACTATCTAATGTCATGGCTTACTAAAAAATCAAAGCATGCATCAACATGAAGACACATATTCATGATTGAAGCCATCTAAAGCCAACACTTACATTAGAATTGATTCATGAACTGAATAGAATAAAAATTAAGAAATGAACAACGATTTATCTTTTACTGGTATTAAATTAAATGTGATGGCAGCAAGAAAACTAACCATAGGTGCTTGGGGAAAAACTCCAGAGGAATGGTGTCTAACATTATCATACAAAGACAAACACCACCTCTTTTTAGCATTAGGAGCATAATATTCCTCCACAAACTTCCTCCAATACTCAATCTCATTTTCCTACAGAGGATTAAAAAACAAAACAAGAAGAAAAAGGAAAATTTAAGACACCTCAAAACTGAATTAAAATACGTTAAAAAACCAAGTAGAGTCCAAAAATAGGGCATGCATCCGTATAGCCAACATTAATAGTGACAATGCAAAACATATAAAACAGGGGTATAAATAAATAAATTGAAGAAAAACAAAATATGACAGATAACACACTGGCGGCCGATGCCTCAAATGATATACATACTGCATCAAACTACGAGCACAAACACCATCAAAAGGATTCACAAATGGCCCTTGACATATGCCTGGCTGTTGTAAATGATGCCTCATCTGTTGCTGTCCCTGCTGTTTCAAGTCAACTCCCTTAAACTGGGAAATTGATTGAAAGTTTTTCTCTTTGTATTCATTCAGTGACTTATTCTGCTCAAGAAATGCCTTTAGCAGTCCCATTTGGCCTTGCAATTGCACAGAATCCTGACTCTCCAGTAGCTGTTTCATAATATGCTCTTGCAATATTACATCTTGACTGAGATCTAGTCTAGGCTTCTTAAGGCATGAATTATTAAGTCCCTGTTTTAAATCATGAGGAAGTGAGTCTTCATGCTTTTGTGATGCATTACTGGAAATAGCATTAAGAATTCCCGGCTGCTGTTTCCTTTTACCTACTTGTGAGCCATTCATATAAGACATATGTTGCCCTCTAGACAACACAGCCACAACTGAGGTTCGTGAACTGCTTAAGTCATGTGATGACAGCACAGGCAATTTGGGGATATCGCCATGAGAATCAATATTAGTAGGGGAAGTTCTCTGCCATTGAGGATGCTCTGAAACAGATGAGATGCCCTCACTTTCCCCAAAGGTACAAGTCAAATTAGTTGCACTATTCACCACAGTGCTGCACTTATCCAGATTGAAATCTGAGATTCCAGCATTAGTA